CGACCAATTGTTATAGAAAACGACGTCATCGAAGCAGTGAACGAATTTGTATATCTGGGAGCGCTCCTTAACGCTAAAAATAACACTACCGCAGAGATACATTGCAGAATTTGCACGGCCATCAGATGCTATTTTGGGCTCAATCACCTCCTTAAACTCACAATTATATCGAGAAATACAGAATTAAAACTCTACTAAACAATAATACGCCCAATCCTAACATCTGGTTCAGAGACCTGGCCTCTAACAAAAAATAATGAAAACATGTTAGGATGTTTCGAAACTCTAGGTACTTCGAAGTACTAAGGTGAATTTATGGAGAAGTGATTGACAGTGGAGTGTGGAGAAGACGATAAAACTTTGAACTTTATAGAACATACCAGGAACTTGATATTATAAAACCTATTAAGATAGGACGTCTGAGTGGATAGGGCATGTAATACGGATGGAACAAAATGACCCAGCTCCTTGATAGACCCATTGGTCAGAGAAGAAACATCGATGAAGACATGAGAAATATGGGAATATGTGCTTGGTGGAGAAAGGCGATGAATAGCGAAGACTGGAGAGAAATTCTTGAGGAGGCTAGAACCCACATAGGGTTGTAAAGCCAAAATGATGATGACTTAATTATTGCTTACTGCAGTTGATCATTCAGGGCAAAATAGAAGGAAAAAGCTGGATCGGACGAAGACAACTCTCATGGCTGCAAACAAACAAACAAACAAACAATTACATTAGACTACGGACATGTTGAACAGTGTAGGAATTGTTGAAGCTATCGACCGAGAAGCATTCCAGTAGCTTGGTAACATGACGATAACCAATGCTTGAAAATAGGCATGTCGCACAAAGAAGAAAAAGATAGTGCGAGTATTGGAACATTGTGAGAGACCGTCATGAGAAAATAAGAGCTAGTATTGGGGCAGGGGCAGGTGCGCGTATACTTATAAATTTCATGTGAAAGTAGGATTGCATCAGGGGTCAGTACTAGTTCTAATTCACATTAATATTGAATCAGATAATCAGAAAACTACAGGGTAAGATTTCCTAGTGCTTAATATATGCTGATAATGTCATGTTTTAAGAATCTAGCATCAATATTAAAGAGTACCTAGTCGAGAAAAATTGGAAGCGCATGCAGTAGAGGTAGGGTGAGATGGTTGAACTGCCATAAGACCAGCGATGATATACGGAACTGACTGTTGAAAAAATAAAAAGAAAGGAACAATTAATGCATGTGGCGAAAATAAAATTGCATTGACGGATTAGTGGAGAGACAAAAATGGACAAAATTAAGAATGATTATATTAGAGGAAGCCTAGCGATTGCACCAATGGATGCCAAAAATGAGAGCTAAAAGGCTAGATTAGATTATATTACTTTATATATTATATTCAGTAATCGTAACATATTTAATCTGAATTAATTTTTAATATAATAAATTCTATTTATTTTAGAAATATTATCAGATGCTTCGGAATGTTCCGAAGATAGTACTTGCGTCCCTCTATCTCTTTGTAACCATGCAAGATCGAGTTATGTTTTTTATTCTTGTCACAGTGGGCTTAATTCATACTGCTGTCCTTTTGAAGGCGTTAACCAAACGACAGCTGAAATATTTTCCAGAAGACAAAGTGTTTTCCCGCCAAATTGTGGCGTGGTGCTTACTGAAAACAAAATCACAGGTAAGTCAGTTTTACCAATATGTTAACATTAAAAATGTGTAATTATTATGTTTGTGCAATGTCAAAAATATTTTACAGTGCGTGAAGTCTTGTGTATTACCACTTACATAATACTTCTTTTTGAATTTTTTTAAAACGAACCAAATAATTAGATCATTTTTGTCTGGCAGTTGTTTAGAATATACCGGTATAATAAATTAGAATCGCCATAGGATAAATAAAAAATGTTGTAATATAGGCAGGTCGTTATATGTCCGTTGATCTTATCTGGGTTGTACGGAGGTTCACAAATACATAATAAACTTTATTTCTCTATAATTCACTCTAATCACATGTACATTCTAACCGGACGATGACATACTTATTTGATAAACTTACTAAATGTGCTTTACTACGTTAAACTAAGATTACTGGTTATTAACAATGATTGGCTCCTTACGCTTGTCTTCCTGACTTTGAATATACCCATTCAATGACGAATCGTGATATTACAAGCTTACTACTTTACAATATTTATGTAGTTAAGGTCGAGTTTACACTTACTAGACTTCTGATAAATGTTTTAAATAACATTAGTATTTTTTTATTTAACGCGTTGTTACTGTTCTATGTTGACTGACTTAATATAATTTGGTTAACAATTTAATTATTCAAGTAAGAATTTTTAAGTTTCTCAGGATTTAGTATTGAAATATATTATACCACACAAGGAGCAACAAAGAGAAAGTCATATATTAAACGATATATTCTAGATATATATAAAGGAATTACAGACCTTTGAAGTTATAAAAGAACAATCGATTTTTTCTCAATATTTAATGAACTGTTTGATATTTTGTTATTAAAATGGCACGTGGCTTTCTTATAGTAAAAGTGCCTATCAAAAAAGCAGCAAAATCTGTGTATTCTATGACAAATTTATGTGAGTTGTAATCCACGAAACCCTCAAATTTGTTTGTGCCTTATAATAAATTATTTCTGTGGCATCATTAGATTATCACAATATTTTTGAAACTTGTATCTATTAGGTAGTAGAAATTTCATAATCCAGTGAGGTACGGCACGGCGACCTTTTTATTATGCTTCAAAAATGCTAAGAAAAATAGAGTATAAATTAATATTCATGATATTCCTGATATTCATAACATATTTACAAATTTGCAGAGAATTTTACTTATTTTCAAAATGGCTTCCTCTTGAAAAGTACAGTTTTAATTAAAAAAACCACATATTTTGAAAAACCATTAGCTTCTGACGAAATTAATTTTCACCTTTTTGCTTTTCACATCATTTCATTTTATTTAGTTTTTTTTATTTATTTATAAAAATATTTATAGAAATACCAGTCATATTTTATATACTATCTACCAAAAAGCAAATGTTAGATAATAGGGTTAAGAACTGGGCACCTGTGCGGCCAAGAAATAGGCACGTAATAATGTAAAATAATCGAATGTCCAAGATATTGGACGAAACCCGCAAAAATAGATATTGTAATACCTGATTGTCTACATAATAGTATGCTGTAATGTCGAAAATATTTGACGAAAACACCGAAAATACATATTTTAATGCGCTGGGGTGCCATTTTGTAAAATAAAAGATGTTGCTGATGGTGATATTTACCTCGTCGCAGTGCCAAAAACCTAAATCCGGATTAGCTTCGGTATTCCAAGCTGCTGATTTAAAGGAACTCTTATTTTTGTAATCGAATTTTAGACTTAGATTATTTACCTCCTCTCAGGTCTGTAGGTACATACCTAGTTGTTCTCGGTTGTCGTTGAATTTTTAACAATCATCTGGATAAATAACAGGTGAACAGAATAATAAAAATTAAAAAAAAAACAATATCAAAAGAAAACACTATAATTTTATTATACAAAAATATTTTAAAATTAGAAAACCAGAATGTTTTAAATTAAAATTAAAAAATAATTAGGAAAACTAACTATCTAACTAATGAACGACCCTTGTATTTGTATACTTCCTCCAACAACAACTGTCAACGTCACCATCTATTCCATTGATTCACGTGGGACATGTGAGCAAACCGAATTTTGCGACGTTGTCGATATGTTACAAAAATCGCTTTATAATATTAAAGTTGATTGAATATAAATATTATGTCGTCTTCGGTGTAATTAATAAACGGTGGAAAATTGGATTGCAACTTGGTGCTAATTCCCATGTTTATTAATTTGTCTAACTATTGCGCAATATTGCGTAGTTAGCCGAAACGCTCTTGTTGGGGCACTGTCTTGAAAAAGACAATGCTTGAAGGTTTATTTACTTTTGTAGAAATAAAACACAGGTTTTCTAAGAAGAAAAAAACTCAGCTTCAGAGTCTTAGAAAATTCGCAGAGCCCTTCGAGTAAAGTGCTCTAGGGAGCTACCCTAGACGGGTAAAACCATACTATCTCGAGATCCGAAAATGTCCCATATTTAAAGATAAAATTAACGTTTATATGAAACTTTTTCGTTTCTCAACCAATAAAATTTAACTAAAAGTTCCAGAAGGAAGGGCGATGCACATCGAGGTGCGTGATTTGTGGCACCTGATGACATATACATACTTAAACAACGCTTAAACCTGAACTTTTCGACCTGAACAATCTATGTTTTTTGTCATTTTATACAGACTAAATTACCCATGCTATTTGAATATAATTTTATTTTAGAGAAGTTTTGCGTATTTACTTACTACTTATATGTACCTACCTCTAGCAAAAACGTATGTATGTTTTATTTGAGAGAAAACCGCTTTTATTTTTTGAAGGCATTTGAAGTTTTTTTGCCAAATGTGTGACTTTATTATACCTTATTTTTACCATACGCTATAAATGTAAACTATGTTTAGTTTAATATTCTGAACTATTAGTGACAAAACAACATCAGAATAGCGCTGTGAACTAACAGAAAATCCTAGCTAACCGCAAAACATGATATTTTAAGTGGGCGGGTAGTTTGTTGTTGATTTTAAAAACAGGAAGCACTAAAATACTCACAACTTTGATGTCCAAATTATGACTAAATACAACGTTAGAAGAAACAAAAACATTGTTAGGTAAGTAGAGCATCATACACTAAACATTAGTGATATTAAGTAGGTCAGCTTTTAAAATTGTCAACTATTAGTAAGCCACTTGTTACTTAGTTTATCGTATTAACTTCTTTGGAGAAATTTACTTTTATAATCTAAATACTTTTAAATAATAAATATAAACGTTTGACTAAATTGGTTAAAAATTATAAATATTGCATGCAGACCAAACATTTTAAATCTGGCAGCGCCGCAACAGTATTTAAACTATTTTGATTTACAGATCCAGATGTTAATTTTGACAGTTAGGAGAAATGTAGAATGGGTGAAACAAAAATTAATAAATGAAATTTTTAATAAGAATGTATGAAAAAAAACTTCACGTATATAGAAATAATTGTGTCAACCTATTGGAGATAAATAATAGTGTGGGTTGTAAGGAACCGTATTCCTGAACACGTCGACAAAATGTTGCCCAAGCCGAGGTTATACATTGTAGACGTGCCAGCACCATAAACTGTTGTGCTGAGTAGTGAGACGGTGCCTGTTTGTTTGTAGGAAAAATGGCACTAGCTGAATTAGAAGAGATACTTTTTACAAATAATCAACAACATTTATTAAATTTTTGGAGTGATTTAAATGAAGACGAGCAAAACTCACTTTTAACTCAGTTAAGAAGTATAAATTTTGATCAAGTGAATGATGTATTCTATAGGGCACAAAGTTACATGCAGGAAGGTATTCAAAAGCTGGATGATTACATGAAACCTGTACCACCAAATCAATTTGAAGTAGAAGTCAAGTTAGATCCAAAAGTGTTAGATGAATATTTTATGCAAGGCTTAAAAGAAATATCCAAAGGACATGTGGGAGTTATTCTTTTGGCTGGAGGTCAAGGATCCAGATTGGGAGTTACTTATCCTAAAGGTATTACTTCTAATTAATATTACCATTTGTTTAATTTATAAAACCAAGAAAACAGAAATTCTACTGATGATTTTCTGATGAAAATATATTAGTCTTGCACAATTTATTCTTCTCTAGTTTCTAGTATTTCTTAAACTTTCTAAACTAGATCCCCTATGGTATGTATTTTGAATTCATTCTCATTAAAACCCCATTTTTGAGCATTGTTTTCCTTTCCTATTTCAGCAGTTGTGCGATTAATTTAGATTTCTCAAGTTTATTTTTAATATCCATATTATGGTATTATGGTAAAAAAGTTATATAAGCAAGTCATTGATAAAATGCCATCTTAGGGTAATTGTTGTATTATCCGCTGTTTTCTCCATTTGTATTTCAAATTTTTTACACTGTGACACAATCATAGTATGTTTACACTGTCTTACAATCCTAATTGATATTAATACTGCTGAACAGCATTAACTTTTTTTATACATTACAGTGTAGATATATATTTAGTCAAAAATCTGTAAACTGGTCATACTGCAGTCAAAGTTTTGACAAATGTTCTATAACGAACTGTTTCGCCTGTCTTTGTCCTGGTGAATTCCTCCACCATTCCAGAGATTTGTGTGTTACCCACTTTCTTGTTACTTTCTTTTCAACACCGTACAAGGGTTATATGCCTTTGTCATTTATGTTATTGTTCAACAAATGGCATTGATGAGCCTTACTTGGTCATATTATCTGTCTTTTCATTAGTAATTTCATTAGCCCTAGTACCCAAGCTATCATAACCTTGCTATGGTCTCCTAGTTTATTTATAGCACCCACACAATCCTATATTAATTAGAATTGACCTCTACAGAATTAAGTGCTAACAGTGCTAAAATGGCTGGCTTTGAAAATGACAATTGAATGGTACCAGCATCCAGTGATGAATTGCATTTATGTCTGCCTGGAAAATTGTGACATCTTTAGATATACTTACTAGGACATGTATTCCTTGCTATGTCCCTACTATACAGGCTCCTATACCCTCCAAAGTTTTTGAGCAGTCAGTGTAACAAGTAGCTTCTTCTTGTATGGGTACACCATCCTTCTAGTCTTTGCTGCCTAGTATATTAATTTTGAATTTATATGTATCATAGCCGCTGCATGAATGGATTGCCTTATTACAATATCTGCTTTTATCTCCTCATTCACCTTTCTATTGTCAATGCTATGTGCCTGGCTTAGGTGTTGCTGACTATGTATTAATCTGTGCATCATAGATCTCACTTCACCCTGTATAAAGATATGAAGTGGTGGTAGATTTAGCAGGGTTGCCAATGCCACTGTAGGAGTTGTTTTTATAGGCCCATAATACACAGACATAAAAACAACTCCTGCAGCATTGTTGGAAGTTCTGGTCAATCCACCACCATTTTATATCTTTATAGAGGGTGGAGCGAGATATGTGATGCACAGATTAATACATAATCATATAAGCTTACTAGATTTTGCCAGTCTTACATGCAGGCGACAATATTTGGCTGTTTAGGGTTCTCTGTTAAAGATTCTGCAGCTTAGGTCTCCATACAACAGCCCATTGTTTGCAGGTATCCTTTGACTGGCACATGTCTAGTCTGTATACCTGTTATGAGTCTAAGCTGATTCCTTTTTGTGTTCTTCAGTATGTCAACCCTATTAGCTCATCTTCATTCAATATGCATGTTGCCATGTGTCTGGCCTAGTATACTTTCTTGGTGAGAGTTATATTGTGTTGAAATCCAGTGATTTTTCTGGATAGAGCTTTTTGTATTCCTATGGCCTTATATTCCCAAACAAGATTGTTTTAACTGAACCTCTTCTCACAAGCTTATCATGAGCTCTTTCAGCTCTGTGTTTCCCAGTGACCTGGAATTCTTACCCTCGTGACACTTTTATATTCTGCCAATCTGTTTAGTTCTTTTTGGCGTTCTTATATTATCCTAGATTTCACCTTAGGGCTTCTAGCCCTAAGTCTAAGAGCCCCTTGTCTATATGTGCATATCTAATTCAGTTCGAAAATCCTCATGTTAACTTCTCTTGTGCACTTTACAAATCTCTGCTTGGAACATATAGATAAATTCTTCTAGTGGAATAGATATATTTAAATTTCCACAACTAGTCAATAATCCTGCACCCAACCATTCTGAAGTTTTAGACTCATCTGTCTACCAGGTTTACCCCTACAGTCTGGGTTGTGTTTCCTCTGCTTCATTACTCCACTAGCCAGATGTTCCTCTAGAAAAGGTACTTTAGGCCTGTATCTGGTTACCATATGGTCAGCAGTCATCATCCATTCGTTACCCTGATTTCATTTATGTTGTTACTGGTAAACAGTAACCCTATTTTGTTGACATTAGTCCTTTGTTAAAAGAAATTTATATCCTAGTTTTTTTTAATTTCTTTGTCATCGATATCTCATTTTATAATAAATATTTGCAATTAATTTATGTACAATATTTTATATGAGAACTGTTGAGACATCTGTCAGGTTCATGCATATGAATATTTGTTCAAACTATCAACTAAAAATGATAACATCAACATTTTATTAGACCTAAAATTTGATCATAATGATTATTTGTATACTTTATTTATTAAACAGGTTTTCATTTTTACAACAGTTAGTATCTATATAATTTAAAGATAGGTACAATGCAATATAAAATATAATTTAAATAACACACTGATAATAATACAATACAGGTTTAAAAAATAACAAAAATCACATTACAAATAGTATAAATGGAAAAGATTTTCACAATAGAGAGTGAATCGTTGAACTCTGTAAAGATTCACTTTTAATATATTTTTCAATTTATTTAAACTTGGACTTTGATTAACTCCAAATATAATTGAGTTGAGTAGAAAAAATTTGATACAATACATTACTTTTGGTTTAATCGGAATTTAAACACCCCAACAGTGTTCCATAATAGATCTTATCAGGTAGCTGAACAGTCTCTTGAAAGTAAAAAATTAAATAGTTCGGAATCACTTAAAACCCCATGATTCTATATTTCAGTTTTAGTAGTAGTAATATATTATTTATTGTGTAAAAATAATTAGTAGAGTCTTTTTATTTAAAAAATTTTATCTTTTAGCATTTATTAATATTTAAAGTCATTTCATTTAGAAAATCGTAAAATAGTTTCGAAACACAATTCAGATTTCTGCTTTATAATCTGAGCCTTCTAAAAATTGCAAGGCAAGCAGACGTTGATAAAAGATGTTAAAAGAGACATGGGGAATCTAAAATTTGCATTCCACGACATGTCTTTTACAACCTAAGCAGAAATCCTTAGCGAATTGTGCTTCTAGTACTCACACAGAGTAAATCCGAATAAAATGAGAAAAGGCAGCAAATATTTGAGTCGTTTGAATATATTCAAATATTTGCTGCCTTTTCTCATTTTATTCGGATTTACTCTGTGTGAGTACTAGAAGCACAATTCGCTAAGGATTTCTGCTTAGTTGTAAAAGACATGTCGTGGAATGCAAATTTTATATTCCCCATGTCTCTTTTAACATCTTTTATCAACGGCTGTTTGCCTTGCAATTTTTAGAAGGCTCAGATTATAAAGCAGAAATCTGAATTGTGTTTCGAAACTATTTTACGATTTTCTAATTAGATGTCGCTATTGCGTCCGTATTGAAGCCATGTTATTGTTGCTTCTTAAAAGGCAGAAAATATTGATTTTTCACGTTGAGAACCCCTATGAATAGCTCTTCTGATGGACCTATTAGGTTGAAATACGTATCAAGAGATACATAGGATTTGTTTGCGTGAAATCAAATATTTGCTGCCTTTTCTCATATCATTTCATTTATTTCACTTTCAAAAAATGAATTCTTGAAGCTAAATTACATTTAGCAGTTCTTAATTTTAAAAAATCCATTGTCTGCAATGAATAAAGCACCACAATACTTAAGTTTCTGAGTCAGTTCCATAAAAAAGACAATAAAGTACAGGGCGCCAGTGGCAATTCAGCAGTATCCCTGATGAACCTTTAATTTTATACTATTAAATTCTTCCTGATATAGAATCAAAAATCCATGAATGTAATGTTTCAAAAAAATATAAGTATATGTAATTAATTTTATTTTATCTGCAGGCCCTCATCTCATACTATACTACTCATCCTTAGGTCAATCAGATACACCAGCATATTCTGGTCTAAGTTATGAAGTGAATGTGATTAGTCTGCCTGGCTTGCTTGGCTTTCTTATTGACAACTGTGTTGCCTATGAGCCTCTAATTTTTGATATCTTTATTAACATTTTTATAACCTAGATATAAAATAGTTTATGCCTGTGTTTATAATTTTGTGGGAAACAGAATATTCAATGATGAATTCGAAAGTATTTTGCCAATATCTAGTCACAATAAAAAATCACAAAAAGTCGCATTTTTTATGAATTATGATGGAATATCACCAGTACCTTGACTAATGCATTTATGATCTATGTGAATACTCTCGTCTGAGATAAATATTTCTTAGCATTATTTGGAAATAAGATTATATTGTGCTCATAAATTGGCAAAAAAAGTGATACTGATTTATACCACGTGTATATTTATATTTCACAAGATCTTTCTTTTTAATAACCAGTTGTTTAACATTCTAGTAACTTAATGCATTCCTAATGATTTGATAAAAGATGTCCACTGAGCTGACAATATTATTTAAATTTCGAAAATTGCCTCAATCAATGGGTGCTAAAAAGTTATTAAGTCTTCATTTTAAAAATCAAAATAGTACTCTCCAAACATTCATTGTTTAACTGGATGTCTTATATTTATATTGGGTTTTAAATCAAAATGATGGTAGCTATTAGAAAGCAGTACATTAAAGAATATAAGAAGATATAAGATCAATCACCATTTTGATTTAAAAAAAAATATTTGTTTAAGATTCAAACAAGAAAATATCTCTGACAGATTTCTGGCTGGATGTTGAAATAAATTTTAACCACAATATATTACCTAATGCTGATCAATAAAATGATTAATATGTTACAGGTATGTTCCCTCTCGACTTACCCTCAGGTAAGACATTATTTCAAATACAAGCAGAAAGGATAAGACGGATACAAAATGTAGCAGCAGAAAGAACAGGAAGAAAAGGTAAAATATCATGGTTTATAATGACCAGTCAAGCAACCCATGAAGCTACAGCTAACTATTTAAATAAACATGGTTACTTTGGTTTGAATAAGGAAGATGTTATCCTTTTCCAACAGGGTGTGTTGCCTAGTTTTGACTTTGAAGGAAAAATTATCCTAGAAGAAAAGTATAAAATAGCATTGGCACCCGACGGTAATGGTGGAATATATAGAGCCTTAAAGAAAAACAAAGTTTTCGACATAATGAGGAAGAAAGGTATAAAATGTGTACATGTGCACAGTGTGGATAACATTTTGGTGAGGGTTGCTGATCCAAATTTTATAGGGTGAATATTTTTTATTTATTATAATTAATCAGTACTTATCATAATTTTCTTTATTTTCTTCTATTTACCCAACTCCATCTTGTTCTGCCTGGGTCTTTAGCCGTTTCAATAATCAACCCTTGTTTATTATTAAAAGTTATTCTTATTGAAGCATTTATTCTAGTATGTGTCTCTTCTAGTCTTTTAGTTGTCTTAACAAAAAACCTCAATCTATATATCTGGAATACTTACATTAATCATATTACCAAATGGGGTTTATAACTATTCTGGAAGTGAGGACGAAACCTGCTGGTTGAAGAGAAGGGAATAAGCCAAAAGTGACTGAAAAAAATATAGTAACAAATGGAGAGCTAGTATTAATTGTTCAATCCCAAATGGATCTTGGCACATGAGGGCTGAAGATGGTGACAAGCAGAGATATTTACTGGACACTGTCAACTCAGGAAACAGGAAGAAACTACCATACATGTTCTTTGAGAATATGAAATGCTTAGTGAATTCCACTAGTTACCCACCTTAGTGAATGAGGTGGGTAAACTGACAAAAACAAATATTTGATCAGGGCAAATCTCTCAATAAGAAAGTTTCTGGTTTTTATCAAGATATGAGACATTTTAATTGCGTTTAATGAAAAGACAACTGACTGACTGAAAAGACGAAGGAGAAGAATATGGTCTCTAATTTTGCCATTTTCAGTTTCTCCACCCATTCATTCCAATCAACTAGGTCATCATTTTTTTTATTTAGTTTCTGACCTTAAAATACTCTTATCATTAGTTTATCTGTGTTAAGTATTTTATTTCCTTATACTGTAGAACCTCTAATTCAAGCATCAAGGAAGACGCCGCCAAAACATTTGAGTTATAGAGTTTTTCACTTATAGAGGATTTTAGCTTAGGTGGATTTTGATTCGACATAAAGAGGTTGAATTCATCCTTGCTAATTTTTAAATAGAGAGGTGAAATAAATATACATTCAAGTTACAGATGTAACAAACATATTTTTATTTATTTATATCAATATTCTTTCAAAACATCCTTAAAATAAAAAAGGAGCATTAAAAAATTGAGCATTTTTTTTGCTTTAGATAATTCGGTTGTTTTGTATCTGTAGGATTGTCTAAGTTAAAAAGAGCAGAAAATTCTTGTTCTTCAGATTTGCTGTTTTCTCTGTAAAATTTCATAAAGTATTCAATGCTGTCCTTGCCTCTTTGATGGACACCCATGGAGCACATGTAGTATTATTCAAGTTTTTTATGTCATCTAAATAATTAGTATCGGTTTTCTGAGCTACTGAATCAATAATTTCATCATCAAATAATGTCACAGCAGTCATAACTCCACCATCGCACGTTACAAAGGATATTCTTGATACCGTGACACTGCTAGCTTCTATTGACGACGATGGAACACCACAGTGTATATATAACAGTTTTTTGTAGTAGTTGTAGTTACATTCCATCAAGTTTTATCAGCCTCCTCATGGCTTGTAATAATATGAGATATATATTTTTATATATATATATATATATATATATATATATATATATATATATATATATATATATATATATATATATATATATATTACATCTATTATTATAATATTACATAATATATTATATCAATAGTAGATTTCTTTTTTTCTTCTATATTTGTTCCTGACAACTATTTTCGTGATGACTGGGAGGACTGGAAGTTTTTTTCAATACTGGATTTCAACTGCTGTCTTTTGCAGAACAAATTTTGAGTGTTTTGAATTTTGTTCATGATGTACAATTCATTTTTTTATTATTGTTGATAGATTGCTCATTGGTAGGTCACATTATTCAGCAACATCCTGACAGCTTCGAGCACTTATACCTTTTCAGCAAAACTCAAAGTTGACGTTTCATAGCACTCATGTTTTACAATTTTATTTAACTGTAAACTGTGTACTGCTTAAGAATGTGTAAATTTATGTGTATTGCGGTAGAACCAAACTATCTCTGACAATTGTTCAATCGTCAACAAATGACTTGCTTCACTGAACTTCAAATTAAATCAAAAATAAGAAGATTAAACACCTGACACCAAGCAAGCAAGCTCATATTAACGTGGATCATAAATTCCTTAAGTGATATCCTATTTATTGTATACTTCTAATTTGTTTTTTAAGAATCAATGATGTACTTATATTGTCGACTAATTCTTAGTCAGTAACTTATTTTTCTTCGAACTATAGAGGAAAGATCTTTGAAATTATCGAGTTGTAAAGGTTGTAAAATAAGAGATTGCTACGTTAGAGATATAGAGGTTCAATTCAATTTTTCGAGTTATATAGGAAAGATATATACCAAAATGCCTTGCTGATTATGTCAACTAATAGAGGGTTGAAATTTTGAGTAATGGAGATTTTGGGGCTTGAAGGGAAGGGAATAGAACATTTCGAATTTTGGAGGTTTTCAACTTACTATTGTTATCTATTTCTTGTTACTTTTCCAAATTCATATATTTCTGTTGTTACTCCTATGGTGTTTCTTTTGTCTGTATAGATTCTCCTTCAGTTTACTGCGTGGAAGATATAGTCACAGGCTTTGGTTTATTAGTGTCTTCAACATGCATAGATTCCTTTTCAAACAACTACATAAAACTAACATGATTGAGTTAGTAACAGGGTTTTTCAGTGCACTTTTTTTAGACTCTTTATTGACCAGGAGACTCACATTTAGACCTCAATATCCAATATTGCCTAACGTTTCACCTGAACCTGAATTTATTTTATTTACCAATATGGGTTAATGCCACCATCAAATCCTCTTTTTTGACCTCTGAAACGTACACAAGCACATATTTTGTTTAGACAGTTTGGGTTTGAGTTTAAACATTGAAGCGTTCTACTCCGTTTTTTATTCAAGTTTTATTATTTTTTATTACAGTTCCTTGTGGTGGTAAAAAACTCTTTCTCGGTACATATCTCACATTGAGTTTCATTGATAAGTTTTATTATGGCATCTTTTATACATCCTATTTCATTTCCGGGTACCATTTTGCCAGTCTGGGTCGTTTTTGGAAATCACTACTATATTGATTAGTTCATTATTTGTGTAAATTCGACTTTCAGGTTTGATCACTTTTGGAATTACTGGTAAAGGCAATTCTTTAGCAGCCTGTGTTATATCAGTGTTATCTCTAGAGTTAGTTAAAGGTTTCCATCGAATGACGTTGCTGGTGTCCAAATCATCCTCTTATAATCCTCAGTCTTCCTTCTTTAAGTTCCGGCTAAGCATTACTGAGATACATCAACAGTCTCAGTGCCTTTCTGTAAGATTCCTCGAACCTGTCTCTAATGTTGGTTTCTCTCCCGTTGTTCTTGGGACTCTTCCTTAATCTGCTGGGCATCGTTTTTGGGAATAGATTTCTTAGTTATTGGATCTTTCTTTGAGTTTCCTGTTTTGTTAGTTTTCATTAATTTAGTCCCATTCTGTTCTGACGAGTACGGAAAATAATATGAAAGAAGGTGCGGCCTAATACCTCCAGTAGTCCGTTTTTAAGACTTCTGTTAAGGTTTGGTTACAATACGCCGTTAGCTTAGGTGTTACTATTCTCGTAATCTCCTTTAATTTAATCTTCGTTAATCTCGTAATCTTTTTTCGTTACAACTTTATAGACGAGTTTGACAGTTGAAATGTGTAGTATCAGATAGCACAAGAGACTCTCATCTAGGGATTCATCAATTTTTTAGTGGAACTATTTTTAAATAAACAATCAAAACCTCAAACTCATTATTTTGCTCATAAGTTAAAAACTAAAAAACTAATATAAAAAAAGTCTATTTATATATTTGACGTCAACTGACAACTTTTTCAGAAAAAAAGATACACGAAATTAGATCGGTTAATAAACAAAGAAGGTATTGCAAAATGAACAAAAGAATCGCTGTTTTTGAATATTGTGAATAACTTTTATTGTGTATTAAAATTTGTTTAAATGTACCTGAACTTGAGTTTCTTATCGTGTTTGAGTTGTGGGCAAAAGATGTCCAGATCGGTTGAATAGTTTTCGCAAAATTCAATTTGTTAACAAGATTTTTTGAAAAATGACCTAATTTCTTATTCTGGTCCAGATAATTTGACTGAATGGATCTCAATAATCCGGGGCTTATTTTCTGCGTTAAGACAAAGTTGAAATAATAACATTTGTCGTAATTGTATTGCAAACTTATCCAAAACAAAATAGCTACGGGATGTATAAAATTTTTTTTCCGCATTTTCTTATTTCCGCATTTATTTAAAATATAATTATATTAAATAAATATGTTTTATAAGTAGTATTAAATTGTTATTTATAAACAATTTTTTCCGTATACTCTAATTAAATTTGAACAAATCAATTTTGAACAAACAAAGACTTTGATTATGTTGACTATTAAAAATATTTCAACTAAAACAATGATGAATCGCTAGATGAGTTTTTTGTAATAGCTCATACTACACATTTCAACTGTCAAGCTCGTTTATATAGTTGTGTTAAGTAAAAAACTAACTTAATTAGTCTAATAGTAATTGTATCGAAGAAAGTAAAATGGCTTCAGCGGACAATTCAGTGGATATCATTTGAACTAACATCCAAGGAATTTTCCGATATTGTCTTGATGTATGAAAAATATGTTTGTAAAATTATTTAGCAACTAAAATTGATAAGTATGTTGATTGAGATTAAGTTTATTGTATGTATTTAGATAACAGTCGTTATGTAGCTTATATTACTTTGCACCGATTAAAAACATAAATTTACCTTCTATAAGCTTTTGATGTCATATTTCTCTGATAAAAACTATATAAATTATGTCCAAAATTATATAAAGAATAGACAAAATGTATTGAACATTTTTATTTTAATTTTTATACTTTATGTGGTTATCTAAATACTTTATAAAAAAAATTCATAATTTCAAACATCTTTTTTCTCCTTTTCTCATCTTTTGGAGCCGTAAACTTCTTTTTTTTAGCCTATATTGAAAGATGTGTTTGTTTTGTATGTGTGTTAAGTATAGTTACATTTCCGGTTAGTTTCATGTTTTTTTATTTTTACTGCTCCTTCTTTTTCCTCAGCTTTTCCCTTTTCAAGGGTCGATGTTGATGGGTCCATGATTTCTTGAATTCTCTCGTTTCTTACTCTGTCTAAGTTTGATTTAACGGCCGCTCTCCTCCAATAATCCATTTCTGTTGATTCTAAAGTCTTTATGGCTTTCTCCTTCAGTGGCCATATTTCGCTTCTATATTTAAAAATGTTTTTGAGAATGTTATTATAAATTCTGAGTTTATTTGTTTCGAAATTTTTTTTTATTCCACAGGCTATTCAATTGACGAATGGCTTGTCTTTGCTTGTTTCATTTTTGTATTTAATCTCTTCGCCCAAATTGCCTTCATTGGTTATGTGCATGCTTAGATCTTTATACATTTTACAGCGATTTATTTGTTGATGTCGTTCTTGCAAAATTAGATTAGATTAGATTCCCAAGACCCTTGCTGATATTCCTGAATAAGTTTGGGTGTCATATATTCTAGATCTTCATAGTACTGAGCCAAGACTATTTGGTGGTCTGCACAGCATAGTTGTTTGAGCCTTTTGTCTACCACAAACCCTTTGGATACCCCTTTGTCTATCTTTACTTTGCTCGTGTTGTTGCACTGCCTTAAAAAAAGTTACGTTGATGTTTGTTTTTTTCTTAAAGCATTCCATAGTTTTTTTGTGGTACACTGTCGTATGCTTTTCAAATATCTACGTATCTATAAGTTGGGTAATCGTAAAAAGATGGTCAATAGTCGATCTACCTGCTCTGAAGCCAACCTGTTTTTCGACCTCCATATCACTGTATTCTCCTTCTATTCTCTTTTTTACTAATTTTTACTAAACTCTCGATATAGTGCCTAACACTGTTATTTCTCGATAGTTGTCACATACGTCTTTAGTTTCCTTTTTAGGTGTAGTTGATATACCACTCTTCCGGTATATTCTCTCCATTTTTACATTTTTGATACTTGCTGGTTAACTGCGTGTATAGTTTGTCGGTTCCGTATATTAGGAATTCTGGTGGGTTATTACCTGGACCTGATTATTTTCATGTTTTCGACATTTGACATTACATTACTTGTTTTACTTTTCTATTATCAATCCTAAGTTGGGATGCAATTGAATTTACTTGACCATAAGATCTACTTGTTTGTAGATATTCTGTCCGTTTCTCCGTCAGTGTTTTTCAAAGTATTCTCGTCCTATTTACGTAGGATAATATTACAGATAATATTTTTAGTCTTTTATGTTCGAAGGGATTGGCCTTCCCGTCCTGTACTTTTCAGCTTTCGGTACTTCTGCTATCTCCCAGGTAAGTGTTAATTCTGGAGTAGTTTTCCTTTCGTTCTCGTTTCATTCGCATTCGTTTTTTGTTTGGTTACTCTTTAAGCTGTTTGGTATTCGTGTTTACTTTGATCCGTTTTTAGGTTTAGAAATGTGTTATGTTTATCACATTTGATTTTTATTTTCGCTTCGATTTCTTGATCCCACCAAGAGGGCTTTCTGCTCTCTTTTCATACGTCCCCAACGCTTCTTCTGCTGCATCTCCTTAGCAATTCCTCGGATCAGGAAATACGTGGAATCTGAGAAAGACAGAGATAGATTCACTTCCCCTGATGGGACTATCCAAAAGGAAATTACTATTAAACTGGGAATAAGCCACAATTAAAGATAAAAATACGTTTATTGACGTTTCAATTTCCACTTCGGAAATCGTTCTCAAAATACAAACAGTAAATTAAACAAATTTTGTTTTTGTTACATAGTGAAAAATTCTTCTAATAATTTAATTTTATCTGACTCATTTATATTGACAATTCAGACATACATTATGCATTTTAAAGTAGACGACTTTAAAATGATATTGCCAATATTATTGAGTTGCGCTCCTGGGACGACTTTACTTATAAGATAGTTCATTCGATTTCATGAAATCAACTTTAACTTGAGAATATCCGTCAGAAAAAAATCATAGCATGTAATTCGTCTTTAAAAAGACAAACACATGACATGATGACAGTAAAATTCTCCTGTTAGTGATTCCATAGTAAATTATGAGGGAAAACCAGGAAAAAAACCTCATAATACTATCCCGACATTGTAAGTATTTGTTCGTGAATTTAGTTTACCTTCAACAAACATCAAAATTCTGATTTTATATGTTACGTTATTTAAAAAACATAAATGATGTATCCTCTATATGTTACTGACTTACTAATACTGGTATTTTCTTATTAATAACTTCCTCTTTCAATATTGGTAACCAGATCCTACTACATTCTTGCGACACAATTTTCCTCATTTAGCATAATTAGAGCCGCTTCTTTGATTTTTCTTTTTTTACCATCCGTTTCTTTTAGGACTACATTTGAATTATTCCATTGAACCCTATGTTCATTATCTCATGCGTGTTTACAGATTTAAGATCTATCAAATTCCCTATTTTTAATATAAGATTGATGTTCGCTTATTCTAACATTTAATGGCCTTGATGTTTCACCTAAATAAAACTGATCGCATTCACAAGGTATTTTATAAATGCAATTCTTTGTCCTTTCTTGTTCATTGTTAGGTTTGGTTTTGGACAAAATAGATCTCAACGTGTTTGTTGTTTTGAATGTTGTTGAAATGTTGAATTTATTTCCTATCCTTTTAAGTTTTTCTGATAGTCCTTTTATGTACGGTATTGTTATTTTCCTCATATTACCGTATGACAATATTACAATATTACCACAATACCGTACATAAAAGGACTATCAGAAAAACTTAAAAGGATAGGAAATAAATTCAACATTTCAACAACATTCAAAACAACAAACACGTTGAGATCTATTTTGTCCAAAACCAAACCTAACAATGAACAAGAAAGGACAAAGAATTGCATTTATAAAATACCTTGTGAATGCGATCAGTTTTATTTAGGTGAAACATCAAGGCCATTAAATGTTAGAATAAGTGAACATCAATCTTATATTAAAAATAGGGAATTTGATAGATCTCAAATCTGTAAACACGCATGAGATAATGAACATAGGGTTCAATGGAATAATTCAAATGTAGTCCTAAAAGAAACGGATGGTAAAAAAAGAAAAATCAAAGAAGCGGCTCTAATTATGCTAAATGAGGAAAATTGTGTCGCAAATTCCTCGGCAGAATGTAGTAGGATCTGGTTACCAATATTGAAAGAGGAAGTTATTAATAAGAAAATACCAGTATTAGTAAGTCAGTAACATATAGAGGATACATCATTTATGTTTTTTAAATAACGTAACATATAAAATCAGAATTTTGATGTTTGTTGAAGGTAAACTAAATTCACGAACAAATACTTACAATGTCGGGATAGTATTATGAGGTTTTTTTCCTGGTTTTCCCTCATAATTTACTATGGAATCACTAACAGGAGAATTTTACTGTCATCATGTCATGTGTTTGTCTTTTTAAAGACGAATTACATGCTATGATTTTTTTCTGACGGATATTCTCAAGTTAAAGTTGATTTCATGTAATCGAATGAACTATCTTATAAGTAAAGTCGTCCCAGGAGCGCAACTCAACAATATTGGCAATATCATTTTAAAGTCGTCTACTTTAAAATGCATAATGTATGTCTGAATTGTCCATATAAATAAGTCAGATAAAATTAAATTATTAGAAGAATTTTTCACTATGTAACAAAAAACAAAATTTGTTTAATTTACTGTTTGTAATTTGAGAACGATTTCCGAAGTGGAAATTGAAACGTCAATAAACGTATTTTTATCTTTAATTGTGGCTTATTCTCAGTTTAATAGTAATTAATTTACAATGCCACAAGAAAATAGCTTCAGAACAATATCCAAAAGGAGTTGCTACCCTCTACCTCTTTAATAATACGAGATTTAATCATTTCCAACTTTTAGGATACACTTCTATCTAGTTTATATGAATGGCTTCTTTTCAAAATTATATGTAAGTGCTTGGTTTTCTTGGAAAGTTTTGTTTATTATCACTCACAGTTATGGCCCCTAATGTACAATTAATTAATTTACAAATTAACTGATTTTATTGTGGTTTCTTAATTATTTTTTTATGTAGGTATTGCGTGAAGAAAGGAGCAGATTGTGGAGCAAAAGTAATTTCAAAAGAAAATCCTTATGAAGCCCTTGGTGTTGTATGTCAAGTTGATGGAAAGTTTCAAGTGGTAGAGTACAGTGAAATAACGGATAAAACTGCAAATCTTAGAAACGATTCAGGAGAGTTAGTTTTCAGGGCGGGCAGTATTTGCAATCATTTTTTTACTACGGAGTTTCTAGAAAAAGCTTCTAACCTCTATGAGAAAAAACTGAAGCCTCATGTAGCCAAGAAGATAATTTCGTTTGTGGATAAGGACGGAAATAAAATCCACCCTATAAAACCCAACGGTATCAAGATTGAAAAATTTATTTTTGATGTTTTTGAATTTTCCGAAAATTTTGTTACGTGGGAAGTGCCTAGGACTACTGAATTTAGTCCTCTTAAAAACTGTGAAAATGTACATAAAGATTGTCCTTCAACGTGTCGACGGGATCTACTAGATTTACACAAACGGTACGTGATAAAAGCTGGAGGTATTGTGGAATCCGCTGAAGTCGAGATTTCACCACTGCTATCTTATGCCGGGGAAAACCTTACAGAAAAAGTGGAAGGAAAAACATTCTCTAAACGAAATGTACTTGTGTCAGATGAAGAAACTATTAGTAATGGAATAAATGGTTCATGAGTTCCGATTTTATTGTTATCTATTTGTATAAACAGTTGTACTTATAGCGGACATCTTAATTTAAAATTTACAAATAGGTGCTCAAAATTTAAAATTATTTGTCAACTCAGGGAATTTTGAAATTAAAGTCTTCGCTATAATATTTGTAAATAGTTATACACTAAAGGGACAATGATTGTTTTAAACAGTTAAATTTTTATTGTTATTATGTTTGTTGTTTTGTTGTTGTTATTGGTATTTGAATGTATTCTGTTTTATGATGTATGAATGTTGATCAACAGAATCGCGTTTCGAATTTTGAACTCACTTTTTTAGTATAAAATAAAATTCCTAAAGTGTAAAGAATTGAAAGAAATATATTGGGAAAACCTCTCTATACTACTGCTGTGATTGTATGGATAGAAGAACAGAGTGTAGAAAATGCTCATAAGCTGAAAGAAATAAATCAAAAATACAAATAAAAACGTCAGCCCACACACTAAAATCACAAATAACGAGCATAACAACATCAGGTGACGATTCCTTAGAAAAGTAGAATAAGACCAAACAGACAATTAAAAATAGGTCCAAATAGCAACTTCAGGAAGGTTATAGAAAAATGAAGGACTGGATAACCGAAGAGATTCTGCAACAAATGGATATTGGAAGAAATAGATAAAAACGAACAACCGGAAAAATACCGACAAGTTAATAAAAAGATTAAAATAATAAGAAGAGGGCAAATAATAAATGACTCGGAGAAAAATAATAAAGTTCCTCGAAGATGCAGGTATAGATTCGAAAGACGTCAAAATCATAACAATACAACCAATTGGCAAAAATAAGAATCATTAAAGAATTTACAAAATGTTTAAATATGAATCAGGATCTGTACTGATTCATTGATTTTCAGGAGACCTTCGATAGCGTATGATATCAGACCCTTGTCGAACTCCTAAGGAAAATAATGCAGACATATACGTTTCATAGTTAGTGTATAGTGGAATCAAAGAGCAACTGTTAGGATTTAAAACGTCGAAATAGAATATATAGAGATTAAAAGACGACTTAGACAGGGATGCCTGTTGTCTCCATTGTTATTCAACCTTTACAGCGAAGCTATAGTAAACTATAGTAAGTAATATAAAAAAAATTTGAAAGGCACGAAATATTTAGACAATTACACAATGATTTATAGCGGAATACAAGATAAATAGGAAAAAAATATATATAGATTAAAAGAAGTGTAAGGGTTGAAGAGAGAGAGAGAGAGAGAGAGAGAGAGAGAGAGAGAGAGAGAGAGATCTTTAAGAAAACATTATTATAGAAAGTATACGGTATAGCAATAAATGGAAAAATCTTGCACAATAAAACAAATCAATGCAGTATCCAATACGAACTGGAAATGGACGTGAAGAAAACCAAATTGATGATTATTATAATGCGACATATACTAGAGAGTTTAGTAATCGAAGCAAAACAAGAAGAAAAGGTAAACAGCTACAAATATACAAAAACCGGCATACATAAAAACTATGACAAAAGTGAGAAATAAGGACATTGAAATACTGATCGCGACCTTGCTATGGAACTGCGAATAAGAGGTCTAAAGTCTTATGTATTCTCTAATTTGTTGCATGGAACGAAAGCTAGATACGAACAGTTGAACATATAGGGAAGTTGGAAGCATGTGAAATATTAAGCTACAGGCGTATATTGAAAATACCGTGGTTTTAACGAGAAAGTAAGAAAATTAGAATATTTAGACCACATAACCAGATACAATTATGAAATACTAAGACTCATCGTGCAAGCAAAGATCAAGGTTAAAAAGGCATAGGCCGAAGAGATTTTCTGGCTGAGAAACCTTCGAGATAGGTATAATTGCAGCACAGTAGATATTTTTAGAGCGACTGTCAATAAGATGCGAATTACTATGATGATATCCAACCTACAATACTGACCTAGCAGGCTGCCGTTGATAACTTTGGTAATAGTTGCGAAATGCATTGAAAACAGAGCTTCCTATATGTCTTAACCGTTCAACATGCAGTATAACCATTACTGTTGGGCCTATTTTTACGAAATGAGGCTCCAAATAAAGAAATTCAAAGGGGAATACAGTACAAGATGCTGTGGAATTAGGCAAGACATGCTTGATGTCTTTGACACAGAGACCCAGAGAAGATGTCTTTGGAAATAGTAGCTATTCTCTAACAAAATATTTATGAAAGCAGTCAAGGGGGCCGAACGTCCAGATGTGGATAAATTTATAAGATAAATGGTGATAGTGGATTCCTTATACGGAAAAATGTTTTCCATATATGCAATTGAGGCTTGGATTTTAACATAAATTTTAAAAGAAAATAGATTCATTCGGGGTTTTAACATGTATTAAAATCCTAACAAAAAAGAAATCTATAATATACAAAAACCTGTCTTTGGTAAAAAAAAAAACCAAACACAAACATGGCTTGGAAAAAAATTGACAATAGGTTATATTATAAAGGCAGTTAAAGTAAAACAATAAGGTTTAACTATATGAATAATAGTGAACCAAATCAAGAGACGGTATTTTAATCCAAATCAGCCAAGACAATATTTAAAACAGGTGAATACAATGTAAAAAAAGTTCTTTAATTTTAGGAGCAGTTAGAGAACATAGAAAAAAATTAATATTCCAAAGAGGAACTAACACAAAATGGGAAACGGAACTGAAAGTAAGAACTTCCGTTTTCATAATTTTCACGCTGAATGCGTTTCTCTGAATCTGGTTTCTCCGCTAATTTTTCCTGTATACGTTTATAGTATTGGATATATTAAGCGACGAAGGAGAATCGAATTTTGTTTTTAATTTTTGTTTCGGTCCAAAATTAAAATCAAGTTTATAACCAAATTAACTAAATTTAAAACGTAGAAAACACTAATCACACATAAGTTGTAACAAGCAATATCATGGCGATATATATGACAGGAGAAATAGAAAATAATTGAAAAATAAAATTCAAAATTGACTAAGAAATTTCTCAGTAAATAAAAAGTACAAAACCAAATAATTAAGATTGGTGAAACGTATAAAGCAAAGAACACCAATGGAACTTCCGTGATCGATGAAGCAAAGAACATCTCAGAAGGTGGGATGAAATCAAAGAGAAACAATATAAGATAAAGCAAGTTGTAAAAACCTTTTTAGGCAAATAACTTTACATAATTACATCTAAAACAGCCTAGTACCTTATGTACTCTAAAGTTATAAAATATACTCTAGTCATTGTAACATCACATATTGTGTAAATTTTGATTGGCCTTTTACTTCGTATGTCTTTTGTTCACTTATGTGATAAATATTTAGAACTTATTGTACTAACAAAAAGATATCGAACATTTAGTTTTTCTATAGTTGTAAAATAAAGTAGCACAAATCGAACGCTTAAATTTTTATCTAATTAATGTACCTAAATATAATTATTGCAAAAAAATATACAGTAAATATAGAATTTTTATGAGCATTAACGATCAGTAAAGTTTGTCGTATCTAGCCACTCATACCAAGTTGGGATAAAAGATGAAACAAAGTAAATATCTTTGAAACTAAAAAGACGATAAGTAACTGCATTTAAGAACTATGACAGATAACGCATCTGATGTCATATTTGTTACTACTCTATTTCCGGTTCCATCGGCAATACCCTCAAATTATTTAATTTAAATGGGACACCCTATGTAATGTTAACTAGTTTCGTGTTGGGATGAGGTGATTTTTGGTTCTTCGTTAATTAAGCCCACAAGACAACGATATACTGAGCTACACTTTTATTGTGAAACAATATTCTAATATTATTATAATGACAATCCAATCTGTCTACGTACTCTTTTTTATGTTTAATTAATCAAATACCTGTGAGTTTTCTCAATGTTATCGTGTTTATGAACAACAACCACTCTCGATGGTCAAGGATAAGTTCACTTAGATTATTAACGTTTGAATAATTAAACATTTATACGAATGATTTCTAATATACTGGAAGATTTTTGTGTATAATAATTAAGGGTTAAATACTCTTAATACACCTATACATTTTTTAGAATTTAAAAGAACTTGTTAGTTTTAATTCATACGTACCAAATTTCGTAGAATTAAATGATAGCTTAATTTATTTACTAAGACCAATGAGAATAATGATTTTAAAATGTTCAAAATGCTCGCAGTTCACATTCTGACAATGCGTAAGCCTATTAATTTATTTACTAGTAATAAGAATAAAAACGTAAAATTCGTATCTTAAGTAGGACAACAGGCTCTGTGGCACAGTCTGGCAAAATTGTGACGTTAACCTCGTGTAAAGGATAGAAGTCGATGTCACAGTTTAAGTAAATATGGCGCAAATTTTATTTCGTCAGTATATGAATACCAAGTACCAATGAACACTTCAAAATATATCTGAATGGGGCGGTCTTAGTGTGGAGAAGGAAGTGCTGCCATATGGGCATCTCAATTGATGACGAAAGATTATACGTGATACACTTCGCTGATGAAACTATTCCAGCGAAATAAGAGAGTGATATAGACTATACACTTAGAAAACTGGAGGAGGACCACACCAAGTGGAGCTTAGCAACTAATGTACAAAAAATCCGGTACTTAGTTGCAGGAGAAAAACCAGAAATCGTACAAATTAAAATAGGAACTATAAAATCAACTGAAACCTTCAAATACTTGGAAGTCCAAATAACATAAAAAGCAGGAAGTAAGGATAAATACATTCCAGGATTGGCTAAACAACATCAGCTTGTTACACGGTGTATTATTGTAGAGTAATACACTCAGTATTGAGTATATGAGTAAACAGAAAATAAAAGATGAATTTATAAAACAAAAGTAGAAATGCTGAATAATAAATCAAAGAATCAAATCAAAAATTTAAGCCCATGAAAATGAACTATTGAAGACGATGTTGCCGGCTCACTAGACTTGATAAGGTGAGAAACGAAGATATTCGGAGAAACATTAAAATTGATCTAGACTTAATATACACCAGAGCCAAAAAACTAAATTTTATGAATGTGAATAGAGTAATCAAAAACACCAGACACCATAAAAAATTAAAACCAAAGCCAACAGGTACAATATATGGGTAAACATGAAAATAAAATCAGCAACCTTCCTTTTAAATTATCTTTTTTTTTTTCTAATTGTACTGTTCCAGATAATATTCAA